GCTCAATTTTATCATTATATTTCAGATAGTTCATTTAAATGATACATTGATACAGCATTTATTCATTATATTTTGACAAAATGCAATTTTTGCAAACGTTTTGATCGAAACACTACATTTGCCTTTTTCTTCACATCCCACTTTAATCCTCGTTTCGATGTGATGGCTCACATATGTTCCATTGTGAATAAAATATTGATTTATGAGATTTGCAAATTATTTCATCATGTTTTATTTATATTTTACTCACTGTACCAATTTATTTTAGATTTATAGTTGTTTTAAAAATGACATTGCAGCTAGATTCTTTTCTTTTTAACAAATCAACAAACTTAGTGGGTTTTGGTTGCAACGCTTAGTTTGGCATCCAAACAGTTTTCTTCACATAAATGAGAATCAATGTCTTAGTTTCTCACCTGAATTACCTGAGCAGGGTCTCATTTATAAGCTTGTCGATCTGATTGGCTGAAAATAATGTTGACAGACAGATGCGTCAACCAATCATCTGTCATGAATTTCCTCAAATTGTCTGCTTTTTCCCAGTTCTTGTATAAAATAGTTTGAATTTTGAGTTCAAAACAATTGAAAATTTATATTTAAAATCATCACTTTTCAGCTTCGTATTAATAAATTTGCAGCATTTTTCACCAATAACTCCAACTTCCTGTCTGACATTAAAACCTAAACTAGACTCTAATAATAATTACGACCTACAAAATGATAAATCTGTCATGTATTTAGGGGTTGTCTAATTTCAGGCATGTTTGAACAAGATGTGTTTTATTCCTGCAAATCAACCAATCTTAATCTGAAAGACTTAGAAGTGAAACGATGGTTGTGTAATGCAGTGGGTTTYAAATGTTTTAGCTTCCAGCCCACAAAACAACACTTGTAGAAACTATCGTGACCCAGATATTACTGAGCTACTGATGCAAACTTTACTATTAACTCTGTAAAACATGTGCATAATTACAATACAAATATTAATAGCTATGATACTACTTTTGTTCATTTATGAGCATCTTTTTTTATTATTAACAATATTGTTGCCGTATTTACAGTACAAGTATTCCATTAACAATACATTTGCATTTAAATTGATGTCCTAAGCGGGGTCCTGAACCCAACTTTGGGAACCAATGGTCTGATGGGATTATTTAATCGTCCATTTTTAGGTCTTAGAGTTTATAAAACTGTGAGTTTCCTGGTTCACATTTGTGTAAAAATACCTACAATATTTAAAGGGGCAAWATCATGTAAAATCAACTYTTTTGAGTTTTATATCATATTATGTAATAGTCTCATAAAAACAAGCCCAAAGCCTTGCTCTGACTCATTCATGCACGTTTGAGAAATCCTGCAGCGTTTTTATGAAGCCATGCTGAGGAGCAAAACGACAGGTGGGGACCAGAAACGCCTTTTGGGACCAGGAACGTCCCTGGGACGTGTCTTTAAGCCGAGCTTCCTCATCACGGAGCACCCCACCCCACACACCCCACACATGACTCCTGCAGTTCTCAGGTGAAACCGAAAGTGAAACTTAAACTGTCTGCTCAACATTAGTTCTGACTCAGCGAAGCTCTTTTCAGATTAAAAATACGTTTGAGGAAAAGTATTTTCAGATGCCAAGTAAACTGCATCATAGCGTGCGCGCAACCC